AGAGAGAGAGAGAGAGAGAGAGAGAGAGAGAGAGAGAGAGAGAAAAACCGCGTTAGATGGAGGATATTGGACGTATCATGCTTAATTTCGCTCGATTTATTTGGGAGCAAACGTCGACGGATTATGACGTTGCGCAACTTGTCGGCAAAGTTTTACCCCGTTCAGAATTTCAGCCTAAACAAGCTGATAGCTTCCTTATCCTTTGGCCTCTACCTTCGGCCTGACAGCCTTATCTTCCATAGGGCAGCTTGTTTGACTTCCGGCGATGTCTCCTCCTGACCGGACGCACTTGATAACTTGAACTACCGCGGGTCTATCTCGGAGAGAGAGCGAGCGAGAGAGAGAGAGAGAGAGAGAGAGAGAGAGAGAGAGAGAGAGAAAGAGAGACGCCACTGGAGGGATGGCGATAGAGAGAACAAGTACGATAGAGTAAGCAAACGAGAAGTCGAAAGACAGGCTTGCTACCAGGCTTAGTCAAACCTAATCCTTTCCGTCGGTTGGCTTTGCATTAAGTAAAGTCCATCGACTTGGACGGAAGCTGCGCGCGCGCGCTGAGCGATCCTGCCACTCTCGCGCGTTTTTCCGATAAAAAGTTTGTTTTTAAGTCTTAAATAATAATTTTCACGATGTGTAAACGAGGTGTGTAGCTTCCGGACGCCCGTAATTTTTGCTAGTCTAAGTAGAAAGATAATCCGAAGTGTGAACCGGACGAGCTTTCTTTACGGCCCGATGTCCGGAGTCCGTCGAACATTAAGAACGGTAGAAAGAAGGAGGTTAATCCACGGGAGCGAGGTAACGGCCATATTTCTCAATAAACAATAAATCAGCGGGGTCGCCTTAGGTATAACGCCCCCTCTTATGGATCTAGCTTCTCTTTCATTCTTGACTCCGTCGTCGTCTCTCCGAAATAAACCCCACTCTCGCTCCATCGCTCATTCTCTTATTCCCTCTCGTTCGCTTATACCTCTTCTCCTTCTATCGTTCGGCGAGTCTCCAGGCCCCATTAATCTATGGTTATCTACGGCCCGCGCTGGATAAGTGCGTCGGAATGAGCCATTTCACCCTTGGGAGTTCGAATCCATCCTCCACCCTCCGTAAGGGAAAGGCCATCGACTGGCCCTTGGGCATCCTCTTTTGCCCCCGCGATGAGCTGTGCAAAACTCGCCTCCTTAACGAGATCGTAACGACGACGGATGCCCGGGCAAAAATGTAGAAATCAAGACTCGCTTCGCGTCGCAAATTCGCGAATTCTTGAAAAAAAAGACATTTTTAAAATTAATACAACCTTGACCATAAATATAAAGCATCCTTAATTTCTTGCATTTTTTTTAAAGGCGGCAATAAAAACTAAAAGAAAACTAACAAAATACTAAAATTGTTATAAAAATAAAACTGTTTTTAAATTTATTTTTCGTTAAATATAGAATTTGCATCAATTTTTAGAAGTGTTTTATGATCAAGACTGTATAATTATTTTGAAGAAGAAACTGCAAAATTGTCACTACGGGATAAGGCGTCGAAATTACGTGAGGATACAAAACGTAAAAAAGGCAACGCTGAAATTTCCTCCTTTCTTCCCACGTCGCGCGAATAAATTTTGAAACTTCGAAGTGGTATCAAAACGGCGTAAAAAGGCACGAGAAATGCCAAGTGCTCGCGATAAAACTATAAGAAAACGCGTAAGACGGTGCGCGAACGATCTCGCGTTCCCTCCTTTTCTCGGCTTTCAGGCAGCATCCGGTCGTAGCCTGCGCGCCATTTCGTCTCCTCCGCCGGTGAATAATGCTCGTAGGTTATCTTTTCACCTTCGAGTGCCGTAAGTAAGGCGCGGCGAAAGCAACCCCTGTCTCTCTCTCTCTCCCTGCCCGTTCTCGGTTCGACCTAACGAACTAAAGAACAAGTTTACTTTGCATGCGTCCCGGCGGCCCGGCGAACCCATCCCTCCGCTCCCTCCCCCTGTCGTCGACGACGATGGGCCGCGCTCTTATCGCCCGGAAAAGTTAAGTGGAAGAAAATGCGTCGACTAAGAATGCGGGAGGGATGCCGCGGCTCGAGATGGCGCGGGTAAAGTTGAAATTGATGCACTGGACGGGTGGTAGAATGTACGAAGCTTACGTCCGCGCTGAAAGCTATTCGCGAGAAAGAGAAAGAAAGAGAGAGAAAGAGAAAGAAAAGACGATCACTAAAGCCCGTTCCTCGAAAGTTCTTTCGGCCGTCCCGATAAGATGAAATCGATTGCAGAGATGCGCGCGATTAGGTCGTCGCGGCGATTCTATACTCGAGTGATGCGTTTATTAGCGTAGTTTATTTTAAAGCTGCCGCGGATTTTTGATCAGTAATGAACGAAAGGAATTTGTAACAGCTGCTTCAAATTTGTTTCGAAATCGACGAGTTGCAGACGACTCGCTCGAATCTCGAGTAATTGGGGAGAGTTTTAGGCGTACGTCACCGTACAATCTCACCGTACACTCGCGGGGAAACTGTACGCAGTTCAGCGAAACGCGCCATCGGACGTGACGAGTGACATTATAACGCGCCGCGTCTATCTCCGCGTTGCGTGCCAGTAGATACAGGGTGTCTACGGCAGACTTTGCGTAACTCAGAAGCCAAATGCGTCAGAAGGGGCGACGGGCCTTAGTTTGACTATGATCTGCCAGAAGCAGACTCGCGAGAAACATCACTGTTCGCGAGAGGATCTCGCTCGGTCCACAAAGAATTCTTTTAATTACGTCGACGTCAAGAAAATATACTCGTTGATAATCACGAAATTATATGGAGCGCATCTCAGTTAGTAGAATTTTTTTACGATTTTCGTTATACTTTCGTGATAAATTAAGAGACGATTCGTGTTAAAATTCAGAAAATGACCGAAAACTCTCTAAGAGCGCGAAAGAATAAAAAAAAACGATGCCCGGCCGATTGCGCGGCGAGAATAAATTCTTCCTATTGCCGATAAACATCGGCGCATTGTTTTGGTGCAGCGGGCGCGATCGTGACGAAGCACTGGGTGGGTAGATTATAAATCGCAAAGGCCGCGCGGGCGGGGCGGGGGCGGCTGCCCCCGTCGTTCGATAAATTGGGATTTTATTATCGCTAATAACCATCCAAAATTATTATGCGTTGATATTTATGCGGAGGCTAACCACCCCTTCCTCCCACGCTCGCATACACACACACACATAACACACCAGCGACACGCACCAGCGAACGCAAACCGCGCCCTTCCGCGCGCGCGGAGGTTTGGGGAAGCGATTTTGGTGATCGCATTTTGGCTATTATTTACGCGTCGCGTGCATACGGTTTTCGCCTCTACGGGGCTTACGAATGTTTATCGGCAAAAATTAACGGGCAATTTGTTCGGGCGCATTGTCGACGGTAATTATTATTTTATCGACGGTCACGCGCTCTGCGCGGACCGATCTCTTGTACCCCCCTTATTATTTATTGGCCGACGTTCCGTTTTGCGAACGCACTGAACGCTATTATCGAAAGAGCTC